TATTAAAATATGTTATACGCTTGACCTACACAAGAGTTTAAGAAATTGATAAATTGTGCTTACCCTATAAGCTTTACATATATTTCTTTCTATACAATGTTCGAGCATTTCCTTAACTAATAACGGGTGTGGTTCATCGCATACTTTGAAAACGTTTGCACTGTTTATATGGCCAAAGCCATTGTGTGTGGACTGTAAATTGTTCATTGCTTGCCTCATATCACCCTGGGCAGTGAACACTATGGCCTCTAAACCGTCGTCGGTATAGGAAGCCTGAAGAGAAAGAGTTCGATTACTATTGCGTTATAAGTTTTCATGTTGTATGAAAAGGAAGAGGATATCGTACATTTTCTGCCTTGCAAACTTCGATGACTTTTGCCAAAATTTGTGCATCCGATAATTTTCCATATCTAAGCATCGCGCAACGTGATTGAATAGGCTCAATAATTTTCTCACTATTGTTACAAGCCAATGCGAATCTTGTGGTATTGCTGTAAATTTCCATTGTCCTACGTAACGCTTGTTGAGCCCCTTCTGTCATACTATCAGCTTCATCTAAAATTATTATCTTATGCTTTCCACTTGGTAGATTTACCTAGAATTTAAAGAAAAGCCCCTATTAATGATGAAAATAAAAGAAACCTGAAGATATAATGCAAAGTATAGGTAGAATTCTTACCTTTTTCTGGGCAAACATTTTAATCTTGTTCCTAACAACATCTATTCCTCGATCATTAGAGGCATTTAATTCTAATACTGCATCTTTGAAAACTGGACCGAGCAAAATTCGTGCCAAACATAGTACGGTTGTTGTTTTGCCAACTCCTGGTGGTCCGGCAATGATGATATTAGGACAGTTCCCATTTTTAGCGAAAACTGAGAGTCTCTGCACTGTGTCCTCATTTCCAACAATGTCTGAGAACACCTGTGGTCGGTATTTTTCAATCCTATGTAAATTAGACACAATTTAATCATTATTATCCAAAATCATGTGAGTTAGATACATGAAACTCAGACATGTTGATACATTATTATAACCTTAATTCTCATTCTTAAACAATTAGTATCTTTCCGTACAATTTGTGAGCGGATTCAAATTTTAAGCAGAAGGAAACGTAATACAAGAAATGATTTTGAATTTGCAATAGAATTTATAAGTTAAACATACACACGAGGGGATATATTTACTTTCCCGACCAAGAATTAAATATTTTTTGAAATACATTTATTTACCATGGTAAATGCAACGATTTTCTATCATCTGCCTTGCTTCTGTTGTCCTTTCCACTGGTCGACGGACAAATTTCAATATCCATCAAATTATTGTCACCGTTTTCAATCCCCATGATCTTCTTTGAACTGTGATAAAAACGCGCGAACCGTGATAAAAATACGCGAGTAACATAACTCCAGATCGAATTACTGTATCATCGAGGATTCAAATAGAAAAATGCAAGTTCCATTTCGTTCAAATATTCGCA